GTAGATGGCCATAGTATACCACAATAGTCTTCTCCCAGGGCCAGCACTGTGGTGCAGCACATAAAGTGGCATCCCGTGGTGCCAGCATCCCATAGTGAGATCCCTGGCTGTTCTACTTCTGTTCCAGGTTCCTGCCAAAGTACCTGCGAAAGCAGCAGAAATGGCTTAAATGCTCAGGCCCTATACCCACCCACATGGTAGACCCAGAAGAAGCTCCCGATTCTTGACATTGGTCTGGTCCAGCTCAGGCTGCTGGGGCAATCTTGGGAATAAATCAGCACATGGAGGATCTCAACCTCTCCTTCTAACTCTGCCTTTCAAATAAACTGAATCTAACAAAAATAAACAGATATATTCCCCAAATGACTCTAAATCTACCCCTTTCAAAATCTGAAGAGTGAGTAAAGTGAGTTATGTTGCGGTCTGCAACATCAACACCCCTATGAGCATAAGTTCAAGTCTCAGTTGTTCCACCACCTATGCTTCTTGCTAATTTGTCTCAGAAGGCAGCTGAGGCTGGTCCAAGCACTTGGATACCTGCCACCCATGTGAGAAACCAAGACGGAATTCCAGCCCCCCGACTTCAGCCTGGCCCAGCCCCAGCTATTGCAGCAACTTGAGGATGGAAAGCTCTCTATGGCTCACCCACTTTCTCCCTTGTATAACTTTGCTCTGCAAATAAATGAATCAGTAAATGTTTTTAAAAGAATGAAATTGAAAAAACTTAAAAACATTTGAGGAAGGAGAAAGTTAAGAGGTGTCAATTCAGTTGGTCACTTAATGGATGAAGGAAATGCAATGTAAAACTAAACATTCCCCTCCAATGACTGGGTTCATTGTATTGTGCCAAGTGGTCACACCCCATTATCCACATCTCCGGCTTCAGCAAGCACACACCTTGCAGCTACTGGCTGGTTTTGCAACCCTGGGAAAATATCTAAAAGCTTTTGAATCTCAGATATCCCCACTATAAGAACATCAAATATAAAGCACAATAACAACAGTAATAGTATGAATGCCCCAGAAGTAGAGGGGATTTCCCGAGAGGACATGAATATATATACAACAGCAAACATCACCTGTGTGAAGCAGGTACACATTAATACACAACATCATAACATCTAGAACATGGTCGACTTAGTGCCTTGGGACATTGTAAACTTCCACACTTTAACAAGGTAGGTAACTATCCACATGGGTGGTCTGTATCAGACACCCGTATAAATACGTACATGCATATGTACATCTGCGCACAAATATGCATGCATATTGATTACTCTTCTAACAAGTCTGGCTTGATGACAGAACGTCATTGGTTAGTGTTTCACAAGAGGGCCAGCTTTTGAAACCCACTGGTTTCAGCCTAGAGAATGGCTTTTGCCCAGAAACCTGCTCAAAACCTAAGGCTGACTTCCTTCAATGTTTAACCTATGAAGTTAGTCATTGGCCAGACAACTCAGAGCTCTGCTTAAGACAGTAGTGGGGTATTTATCATGAACTCCAACATACATAGATATGTCAGCCACATCTTCCTAATTTTAAACTCAAACCTGTTGTGAAGAAGCAATAAATTGCCATGCTGGGAACCTGGAATTCCCTCGAAAACCTTAGTGTATAAAGTATTCAGTCTTGTAAAATCGTGGAAAACATACTTCAGTGGTTCAGATTGGCCATTAATAATGCTTTTATTTTATCCTTTATGTCATACTTTTAAAGCGCTTAGGTTTACAGCATTGTGAAATTGCACTAATGGTCGTGTTACCACTCACTCCTTGGAAGTAACTCATGCCGCTGTCTATCTTCTCTCATTCAATATTGAGTCAGTGGATTTTAGTACAAGAGGGTGGCTTTCTCACAGAACTTGGTATCACTGAATTGTGCTTTCAGCCAAGAAGACATAAACAACTTTAGCCAGAGAACACTGTTATTCCCTAGAGAAAGCCCTAGACACTCCAACCATCTCCAATCCATATTCCCACTAGCAGTCATGTCCATTTGGATATCCCACATGAGAGGCCTCAAATTATTTAATCCTATCTGCCTTACAGTTAACAATACTGTATTGTGCACGTAAAATCTACTAGGAGGCTAGACTTCATATTAAGTGTTCTTACCAGATTGAAATAAACTTCAAAAGCCTTACTTCATAAGGATGGAAAAGTTTGATGAATTAATAAAGGCAACAAAGCAAAACCAACAAATGAATGAAGTTCTGCTACTTCTGAATCACTCCTATGTGCACCTTATAATCCTAATACCACTATAAGATATTTAAGGTCAGCAACCTCACTGGCAATATGCTTTCCTATGCATTTTCCCCTCCTCAATGAACATGGCCCAGTACTAGACATTAGGTCAGCAACAGACAGTTTGAATTCAGCTATGTTAGTATCACACAGGAAAAGCACAGAGATACACTGAGTGCCATCCCAAACAATGCATTAAGATTAACAGGTTTCAAGATATTTGATCCCAACATACAATAACGAATAATTTTAGGTTGCAACCCAATAAAAACACAAATATTACATAAACACATTCACCCAATAAAACACACACACATATATTCTAATAAATATCCACATATTTTATTTAACTCTAACTGAAATGAAAGTTTTCCGAAGTGTTACCATTACTACATGAAATATGCTTATGGACTGGTATTGTAACATAGCAGGTAGAACCACTACCTGCAGCACAAGCATCCCATATGGGCACCAGGTGGAGTACCACCTGCTCCAATGCCAAGCCAGCTGCCCACTAATATGCCTGGAAGAAACAGTGGAGGATGATCCCAACACTTGGGCCCCAGCAAATCAGTGTGTGACATAGAAGCTCCTGGCTCCTGGTTTCAGACCAGCCCACGTCTGGCCATTACAGCCATTTGGGGAGTGAGCCAGCAGATCCAAGCATGCTCCCTTTCCTTCTTCCTCTGTCTCTCTCTCTCTCTGCAACTTTGTCTTTCAAAAAGAGACAAAGAAATATTCTGATATTTTTACTCTAGAAATTTATTCTGTTAAATTTACTCCAGTGCCTCTCAAACCTGAATGTTTGCAGCAGTTGGGATCTTTAAAAATAGATTTGTTTTATTGGAAAGAGATTTACAGAGAAGGAGAGACAGATCTTCCATCCATTGGTTCACTTCTGAAATGACCACATGACTGGAGCCTTTTCCAGGTTTCACATGTAGTGTAGAGTCCCAAGGCATTGGGCCATCCTTCACTGTCATCCCAGGCCACAAGCAGGGAGCTGTATTGGAAGTAGAGCAGCTGGGACATGAATATGGGATGCTGGTGCTTGCAGCCGGAGGAATAAGCAGTTGAGCCATCACACAGGCCTCTAGTTGGGGACAATATTAAAAGGCAGATAAAAATCAGCAAGACTTGTGTAGGATCAGAAAGTCTGTATTATTTCTACCAGATTCCTAGGAGCTACTGTGTGGCCTGAGGCCATACTTAGAGTAACTAAAGTCTGGTCTGGTTTATTTAAGTTTTTAAATGACTCTTAAATGCTGAAAATGATCCTTTAGCTTTATAACATGTTTCCATCTGAAGTTTGTATTTCCCTGACAAGTAGGGAGCCTGAGCATTCTTTTTTCTATTAACCATCTGAATTTGTTCTATTGAAAAATGTCTGTTCATTTCCTTTGCTGACCCCTTCACAGGGTTGTTTCTTTGCACTTGCTGAGTTTCTGAAGCTCTTTGTGAATGCTGAATATTAGTCCTCTCTCTGTTGTGTAGTGTGCAAAGATTCTCTCCCATTCTGCTGGTTGCTTCTTCCCTTAGTGACTGCTTTACAGAAGCTTTTTAGTACGGTGCAGTCCCATTTGTTCATTCTGGCTTTGACTGCCTGTGCCTTTCACCTTCTCTATTCCTACATCTTGGAGAGTGCTTCCTATGTTTTTTGTTTTCCTCTAATAATTTGATAGTTTCTGGTGTAGATTTAGGTCCTTGATCCACTTGGAGCTGATTTTTGGTTTTTTCCACCAGTTCTTCTATGTGGGTGCAGAAGACCAAGGACTTGGGCCAACTCCTGATAACTTTCCCAGGCCGTTAATAGGGAGCTGGATCAGAAGTGGAGCAACTAGAACATAACTGGCATCAGCCCATATGGGAGACCAGTGCCACAGGCACAGGATTAGCTTGCTATGCCACCACACCCTCCATTGGTTTGTGTCTTAATCTCTTAGATCACTTCCTCTGTTGGAAGTCAGACTGCCATATCATGAGAACAAGTGAGCCAGTGTGGAGGCGATGGCTCCATTCTCAAGTCTTCAGATGAGTACAGCCCAGATGTTGACTGCACCTCACGACACCCAAAAACAGAGCTGCCTGGCTAGGCCTTGTGCAAATTCCTGACCCACAGAAAATGGTGAGATTAAAAATTATTGGCTGTTGCTTTATACCATGAAATTTTGGGATGGCTTGTCCTACATTACATTTTAGGATAATGTGTTACATAGCAACAGGTAACTCGTAACAGTTCTCAACTAACATTATATTGTAACATTATAATTCTGTCCTAAAAAGAAGGTGAAGCTTTTATGATTGTCCATTTGATAAACACTTCATTGTGGTTGCTCATTTGGTTTAGTCTATTTCCATTCTCCTCTTACAATCAATTTTGTGGCAGACATTGATTTCCTAAATCCATGCATGTTGTACTTAACCAACCATGTGAGCCAGCTGGACATGGAGTTGTGATGTTAATATCACATCTGACTAGGAGCTTTTACAGGCACTACAAGAATCTGCCTGGCTACTTCAGCTACATCAGCTAGCTGCAGAAACAACACACCTGAGATAGTGGAGGCTCCGTTAGCCTTGGTTTCACAGGATTTGAATTTGACCTCTAGATTGGCAAAAGTTAACTGGAGTCTACGCACAAGCACAACTGACTCACAGACTCATGAGTGAAAAATAAGTGCTTGTTGCTGTAAACCACAAGGTGAGGGAAGAGGGCTGTTTGCTACTGCAGCAAAGACTGAATAACACACTCACCATGCTGTATGATGCCATGCTCCATGAGCCGGTGGCAGAGCTGCTCTGCCTCTTTTCTTGTTGTAGCTTCACCTTCCTGAACCAGCCAGTCCAGGAATTCAGACGCCATGAAGGTGCGTTCATACTTGACCCCCTCCTCTTCCCTGGGCTGCAGCAGTGTATTTTCCGGGCTCATCAACCTGGGAGGAACAGAGGGGAATAGAAAAATATTACAACCTTGTACAAAAGGATAACAGGTCATTTCAAATCTCACACCATGGACTTCACGGTAAAGTCAAGTAAAGTTGTCAGGCATATGCAGATGTCCTATGCTGCTAGAACATATTTTTATACAGGGGTCTCTGCTTCAGATGTGGATAATATTGGGGAGGATACTGGATGCAATGCTTGAGACTCTGCTTGGGACTCCTGCATCCCATGTTCGAGTTCCAGCTCAATTTCTTGCTAATGCACACCTTGGGATACAGCATGGATAGCTTAAGGACTTGGATCCCTGACACTCATGTGGTGTCATCCTGGCACCAGATGTAGTGCCCGGCTCCTGGCTTCAGTCTGGCTTATCCCAGCAATTGCTAGCTACTGGAAGTACCTGAAACATCATACAACATGCTGTTCACCTCCAGCACTTTGAGAATTAAAGCTCAACTCCACTGGAGAAAGAACATGTGAGGAGGAATTAGATTTAAGTGTGTCTCCAATGGACCAATCAGTAGCCATGAGTTGTTGTTTTTTTCCAATAATGTAATGGTACCTTCACCAGCTGCTGTGAGAATCATACCCCAGCTTCAGTTAAACAATTTTAGCATTCAAAAATAATATATATGTATATGTGTGTGTGTATATATATATATGCTGTGTTATAACATTTAACTAATCACTACCCCTACATGCTGAATTTGTGTCTGATAGATATGAACTGATGCACATGAAGTCCTTAAGTTCCTTCCACTTTTTTTAGAACTGTCTAAATAATACTATTTGAAAGCCAAGGGAAGAGGCACAGAATTATAAAGCTAGAGATGTGAGATTCAACCAAAGCTCTGCCATAAACTAGTTATGTAATTTCTCACTACTTCAGTGCCCCCAAACTCATATTAAATAGGAAGAGAATATCAGTCCTACTCCCTGTATTGTAATGATCACCAGAAACTTTCTGGAGGAAAAAAAAAAGGCAGAAAATTTCTAAGTATATAAGTGCCTGCTTTTCAAAAAAAAATTATTTATTTGAAAGAGCATCAGCAGCAGAAGGAAAGACAGAGGAATCCTCTATCAGTACACTCCCCCCCCCCCCAGATGAACACAATTTCCAAGACTGGCCCAGGCTGAATCCAGGAACCAGGAACTCCACCCTGGTAATGGACAAACATTTAGTCCATCACCTGCTGCCTTCCCAGGTACACTAGTTCAGAGCTGGGACTCAAACCAGCATCCCGACTGAACCTACTGTGCTACAAAATGACCCCTAAAAATCTTCTTTTGCACTCAGAGTGGTTATAAATGCTATTAACATACAATGACGTATTTAAAATATCCTCATTTGGCATGTAACAGAACTCATTTGAAAACTTCATGTTTAGATCTTTCCCCTGGGATAATTGCCCCCACACTGTTTCTTAGGAAAAACCATGAGGCAATAAGAATTCTACTACACATAATAATACCCAGCCCTTGGCAAAAAATGAACAGACATGTACAATGACATGAATAAAGCTGGCATCACAGGCAATGACAAGTGGAAAGATGGCTACATTGTTTCTGCTTATGCCTCTTTCCAATGGGATGCCACCTCATTCCATGCAGAGGTTGATTGTAATTCATCTTCCCTTGAATTTGGGCTTATTCATGACTTGTTGGGACCACCAGGATGCAGCAGAAGTGACATTATGTAGCTTCTAATACCAGAGTTTGAAAGGTCTTGCAACTCCCTGCTTCCACAAATTGCAATGCCAACCTGAGATCACCACATCAGAGAGCAGGTCTCACCTCCTAGAGGGGAAGGGCCCACAAAGGGGGACAACCACAGTGTCCAGATATCAACACCGAATCCTAGGTGACTGAGTGAGGCCATGCCGTACCTTCTACATAAATGAACACACATAAATGAACACAGATAAAACCAGCCAAGCAACACCTCCATAACCCCACAGGACCAGCAGAAATAATACATCCTTCCCTGCCTTAAACTATTAAGGCTTGACATGATTGTTCTTGCTTTTGCAGGAAGAGGTAAGCAAGACACCTTATAGTTCTAAACAATTACAAAAAAATACATAACCATCTGCAAACACATACTCAACAAATTACATAGCTTAGAGACTACTAAGGAAATGATGAATGTTGGCAGTTCCTGGAAATAAACTGCAGAGACTAGCGTCATAGTGAGGTCGATCAGGGGTGATAGGATCTAGAACAGAGAATGGGAAGACCTGTGGGCAAACCCACCTAAGGAAAACCATCTCCTTTGGGCCCTCAATAAGGCATTTTGCCATGAAAAGAAAGGAAAATCTAGTTTCCTCAGTTTTCTGGCTTTAGACACTATTGTCTCTAAGAAACATCGAATTCCACAAACCTGGGCCATGTACTCCACACAAGGTCTTTCCCAGAGACCAAAGAGAAGCATCGGCTCACCCAACTATAACCTTTTGTCATTTCAGAATCCCTAACTATGTGGTTTCAGAGTTGTTTCCTAGAACACTACCTTTCAAAAAGCAGTGGTTAAATAAATAAATTCATTTATCTGTTTCGCATGAAATACATTATTTTTCAAGTAGCCATTTATTAAAACAGATAACCACAGGATGATCTGGTGTAGGCACAGGTGAACTGATTGTTTTACATTATTAATACTCTCTATTTGAAATACAGACGTAGGTCCCTAGCCTTTAGCCTTCATTTTCTTTTTAAAAATGTATCATTTATTTGAAAGGCAGAATGACAAGGAGAGAGGCCAAGACAGAGAGATCTTCCATCTGCTTGTTCAGTCCCCAAACGGCTGCAACAGCTGGGAGGTCCGGGTTAAGCTCAAGCCAGGAGTCCTTGGTCTCCCCCGTGAGTGGCAGGAACCCAAACACTTGAGTTATAATCTTCCTTCTTGCACATCGCCGGGGACCTGGGTTGTAAGAACAGCCAGGACACAAGCTGTCGCTGGGATGCTATCTCAAGTGGCAGCTTAAGGCCCTGTGCCACTAGAACAGTCCCCTCTAGCTCCAGCTGTCATCCCCCTGCCTCAGCCAGCTGCACAATTTTCCTTCTAGGGAGTGGAAAAGACCCAAAGTGCATGGGACTAAAGTGTAACATTTCTTGTAACCAGAAACTTAACCAGCCAGCCTAGCACTAAGGAGCTGGCGGCCTCTGGAAAACTGGTTTACTGCTTCTGCCAACAGGAAAGACATGAGACTGGATGGCCCTCCTGGCTTGGTTCAACATGCTGTTTAAAGCAGGCCCATCAGCTCAACTCTTCCTTATTGCATTTCCCATTATAATCAACTGATGTCGCTATACAGGTTCCCCTTTTTAAATCCAAGCCTTTCTTGGGATTTTCGTAATAATATATAGTGACAATGTTAAAGTAAGTGTCTGACTTATTACACAATCGAATTATCTCTTGTAACAAACTACCCTCAGATACAATGGCTTAAATTAATTACCATTTAATTCTATCTTAGTATTCTATGTGTTGCCCTGGAGTTTAGCTTGAAGTCACTCACACAAGTGCTGTAGATGGTAGGCAGATACCATCCCCCTTAAGACTGTTCCTCACAACAGCCTCTCTCGCCAGCAAGATAACCTGGATCTCACACAAGAAGAAATAGATGCATCCAGAACCACTTCTTCCTCGTTCTCCATTTTCCTTTCCTCCTACTCTTCCATCTTTATTCAAATATAATCCAGATGTCACACATTTAACGTCTATATTAGTGGTTTTCAGGGAGAAAGGGATTATCACTACGTTCTTGGGATGTTATCTACAAATCATACTGAATCTGTTAAACATGACTGAGAAATTAAAATAAATACAAATAAGTAAAAAACGCAAAGATCTAATTCGAATTTGTAAAAATCAGATATGGGTAACTTATGCAACTGTCTTCACAATCCAAGCTAGAAGACTATATTCCACCCAGGGGGGAACTCTTAGCCACTTCCCACTTGCTCATTTATCCAACCCAGGCAAACGCTAACAAATGTGCTTTATGTATGAACAAGACTACTGTGGACACTGCACATCAATGTGCTTATATGATATGCAGTCTAGGGGCCAGTGCATAGCTCCACCAGCTAATCCTTCCTCTGCAAATGCTGCCATCCCATATGGGCACTGGTTCATGTCCCAACTGCTCTGCTTCCCATCCAGCTTCCCTACTTGTGACCGAGGGAAGACGCAGAGGATGGCACAAAGCCTTGGGACACTGAACCTGCATTAGAGACCCAGAATAGACTTCGGACTCCTGGCTTTGGATTGGCTGGCTCAGCTCCACTCATAGCAGCCATTTGGGGAGTGAACCAGTGGAAGAAAGATCTTTTCTCTCTGTCTCTCTCCTTCTCTCTAAAAATCTGCCTTTCCAACAAGAATTAAAATTTTTATAGGATTTTTTTCTTAAAATAAAAAGCAAATATGTAATTTAATATGATCAGCCTCTTCCAGAACAGTGCTTTCAAGGTTCATCCATGTTGTAACCATCTATTGTGTGTATCAGTATTCCATTTAACCACTTTATGGCCAAATAATATGGCATTGAATAGACATACCACAGTTTTGCTTATCTATTCATCAAGGTCATGAACATTTCAGTCTTTCCATCTTTGGTCAACATGACCACTCATATGACAAGTCTTTTTATAGGCATATGTTTTCATTGTTCTTCCATATACACACAAAAAAATGGAACTGTTAGTTCATATGGTGCTACTACTTAAACTTTTGAGGAGTTATCTGACTAGTTTCCAAAGTGCCTTTGCTGTTTTATGATCCTCCTGTTAAAATAAGTATGAAGATTCTGATCTTTCCACATTTTAGTCAGAAGTCATTTTTAGGTGAATCAAGATGGAATAGAGTGAGGACATGTTTAAACAAATGGAGAATCATTAGCCAGGGTGAAGCAGAGAGGGCACATTCCATGAAATATGAGAGGAAAGGCTGGCAGAAGAGGGGCAGCTGGAGACTGACAGACCCTGGAAA